TGTTTATTGATTATTGCTTCTTCCCACCTGATATTATTTTTGGTGTTTTCATCTGTTGCAATCAAGTTCTGGTTAAGTATTCTTCAGCTGAGGATATGTTTTATTTTAATTAGATTTTTGATTGTTTCTGTGATTGTATTATCCATAATTTGCCTATTCCATTCTTGTACTGTGTCTTTTATTAGTATGTATGTATGATACTTTATCAGATTAAATATTTATATATATGTGGTTATCACAGGATTGGCCTATGCTACTTCAGCACCAGAGGCACAACTAATAGTTTGTAATACATTTAGTAAAATTTCAAAATAAAATATAAAATAATTACATTTTAAGAAAACTATATTACAAATCCAATTAGGAAAGACACACGATACTCTCTTAATTTTTTATTAGAACAATTTTAAAGGATAATCTAGCTTATCGCACTGTTGTATGTACTCTAATCTGTCCAATGGTTTTTAAGAACTTTGGTGTGGTCTGTGAATTACATCTCCCACTAAGGTATCCTGATGATTTGTTACAGGAAAATTAACTTATGCTCTTCAGCATCCCATCGGTTAAATTTTTATCCTTTTAATTTAATTTTTCTAATTTTGGCCTTACTATGGTTATGGACTCCAGCTGAATAACCTGTTCTTGTCAAATTTGAAAAGATTAAAAGTGTGAATCATTCTTTTTTAGGATAGTGTTGTATTTTTTGTAGAATTCGACATCACCTATTACTGAATCCATATCATCCTTGAGAAGATCATTGATTAGCTCTATGGATGGTTTGAGAATTGTTATATACCCTCATTCACTTAAACCAAAAGAGTCGTTAGATGGTGAATAGTCATTGATATCCACAAATTCACTGTAGTTCTGGAAATTAATCTGGTAGTTGCCGGGTTTGTTACCAGTTATTTTGATTAATCTCTTGATCTTTGATTCGTCAATGTCGTTGCGAGTCGCAAGAATATGTTTTCTCAATTTTCTTTTGATGCCTAACATTTGTGTAACAGATGCAGCACTGTCAAGGGCAGTTGCTTTTCTTTTCGCTTTTTTGCGTGGTGTTTCAATCTCCATGAACTTTGGTTTGTGAGTTGCATTGAAATATTTCTTTCGTGTATTGTGGCTGGTAAAGTTTTCATTATATTCAGTATATTTGCATGCCTTTACAGATAGAGGTTGTTTGAATGCAGGTTGTTTTTCTGCTGACTTGCCTGGTTTTTTGTCCCCCTGGCGTCTCCCTTTTTTGGGTATTGAGTTCTTTTCTTTTTTAAAAAGCCGGCTGCTGGTGTAGGGGTAAGTATTTGTTATTTAAAGTTGCTAAAACATACTGAAGAAGCTTTTCCCACCCATTTTAAAAAAAGTTCTTGTATCAGAGCAAGCTGGTCTGCTGACCCAGAGTATTTAAAGACTGACCTATAGAGAAATCTTATCTCTACAGATATTGTTGTCATGTTTTGATAATTTTTATTAAAGAAAACTCAACTTCTCGTTGACTTTTTTCAAAAGTTTTCTTATAAAGAAATTTTTAAGAAAAGTGATATAAACGGAAAAGAGTTTTTTTGTGAAATTTTTTAATTTTTTAAATATAAGAAAAATAAAAATATATATAAAAATGAAATAACTAGAGCTGAAACTAAATCAAATAAACAATAAGATTTTTGATGATAAAGCCAGTATATCCAGAGAAATTCCTTGTCCAATTATAGAAACTGAAGTTTACTAAGTTTTTCCATTATTTGCATATGCTTTGGTAACAAAGAAATTATAGTATAGTTAATGTTGTTTGGAGTTATTGTTATTGTTGTTATTGTTATTGTACTGAAAAACTGGTTTGAACAGGTTTGGTTTTTGCTTTGTTGTTTTGACAAAATCTAATTGGATGATTGGAGAGTAATGATCATCTAGAGGAAGTAAACTGATTTCAGTTTTTTGAATGGAATTTTTTAAGAATTTTGAAATGGCGCAGTAAATATTACTATTGTAAAATTATGTGTAAAGGTTGACTTAAAACAAATATTAGATCCTACAATTTTGTTTGAGTATATTTTTTGGAAAGTATTTTGTTTAGCAAATATGGTGATATTGATGTAAATGGTTTTTATGATATAATAAGAGTAGGGATGTATGCAAAAGAATATACAGTACATGTGGCATAAATTATTTTACTGTTGACTTAATTCCTAAAATTCTCAAAATAATTGCGTTATGATTCAATTATTTATATGTTTTAATAGTGACTCAATTAATTATGTCAATTGCATCAAGGATTTATAATTTTCAATAACATATATACAAGAGAGCAAAAGAAAAAAGAACTGTCACAGGCCTTTTCTCATGTAATCAAAGGATAAACAAGATTCCCAAACTTGAATAGATTTCGACCAGAGATTCCATTCCACTGCATCAGTTGTCTTGAAGGTTCTTGAGTTCTTGAGCTGAAGCTTACTTGCAATAAAGAGTATAAAACACTTTTTCTTGTTTAAAATTATCATAAAAGAAAAATTTTTAACAAAACAGATGTGATCAGGAGAGAGTTTTTTTATTTTGTTAGTTATTAGATCTTAAAAATAAAATAATATGATTAATATTCTGATATTATTACTAATATTAAATTTTATGTAAATTTTAAATTTTATTTTTTTTAAATTTTATTTTTTTTAAAAAAAAATTTCAAGAAAAATAATATATATATATAATTTTTTTTTTTAATTTTGACTTACTATATTTTTATATTTAATAAAAATAATTATTGTTAAAAAATTTTTATTAAAACATATTGATTTATTTTTAAAAAATTTATTTATTTTATTGAATTATAAAATAATATCAAGAAAAAAAAAAGCTCTTATTCATTTATTACCAATTTTTTGAAATCATTTTTATAATAATTTTTTTTGAAAAAATATCTTTTACTTTTTTTAATATATTAAATCTATTATAAGTTTAAAAATATAAGAATTTTAAGGATTATTGTTATATTTAAATAAATTTTTAATAAAGAATCAAACATATTTAAAAGGTTTATTTTTTCAAATAATCAATATAATTATGACAATTAATTAAACTCTAATAACCTACTATAATGACAATCAAACTAGTTTAAACTTGTTCATAATAACAATAACAACTTAACAATTAAATTAATTACAATACTTTTATTAATAACAATATTATATTTATATAGAAATACAAAGCTTTTTATATGTTTTACATAACATTTGAACTGTTATCATATGGTTTTACAGATTTAAGCAACATTACCAAAATTCAAGTAATATTATAACAACAAAAAAAGCCACTATTATGGTTTTACAAGTCCAAATAGCATAATTAAAACTCAATCAAAAAATTTTTATCAACGACCACATTAACTTGGCTGTTTATTTTAATAAGCATTAGTCACTTAAAAATTAATAGTTGGTACATATGATAGGCTAATATTAAAATTATCTTTAAATTTTCGATAATTTTTAAAACATTTAATACTTTGTTTGAGTGTGTTTTTTGAAGAGTGTTTAAGAATTTAGCGTATATGAAGGTAGTGTTATGAATGGTATTTATTGATATTTAAAAATCAAAAATCAAAAATCATGATACAATTGTTAAAGAAAGTGTAATAAAATATTATATAAACACTAAGAAAATTCTAATCAAAACAAAAACCATACAAATTCAACTAAGTTATAAGCTATTAAATTAATTATTCAATACCGGGTTTTATACTTAATTTGGTAAAATATAACATTAATGTAAGTTTGGAATGATATGTTGAGTACGCAAGGCTTCTTAAATCTTATTTAAATAATCCACGATCATACTTCACTTTACCAAACAATTTTACTTTCTATGTAATGCGAATGCTTCTACGATAGTCGTGCCTTTGAGTAATTCCTCCCTCACGCGTTCATCCATTTCTACATTCTTTTTACATAAATCGAGCACACTATCCAGCAACTGCAGGGGAATACAGACCACACCATCCAAATCCGCAATTATTACATCCCCAGGATTAATTGTAATCGGTGGGTTATAGTTCCCATTAAGAGTGACTGGTTGGTTGAGGGTTGTTGGACGAGTGTATGCTTTAGCAGAAAGTACAGATGTCGCTTTTGCAAATACCTTCGGTCATTACCACAGCCAAAATCGGATGACAAAATAACATTAAAAGACATTCACATTAACAATCAGTTTGATTAATAATAATTAATACCGGAAGTCCATCGGCACGGAGCTCTCCAAGATCGCGAACGCGACCATCAACCACAACTCCCTTGACACCACGCATTTTTGCCCTTGTGTTCATCAGCCCACCCCAAACAGCATTTAATGCATCTAAGAACGATAGATTTAAATTTAAATTTATTATCAAGCATATAACGATGATGAAACAAGGAAAGTACAAACTTGGTGGAGCTGATACAAAAACCACGCTACCCTCCGGGGATGCATCAGCCTACAAAAAGAAAAGTAAGTGAATTGCTGGAAATCAAGGGAACCAAAGAACTTACAAAATGTTGACTTGGTTTTGGAGAAGTTGTATCATCGATTGGGACGACCTATAATTGTTTAAAAGGCGAAATTATCACCCATGAATTCAACGATCAATAAGCCTTTCATTATTAAATGAATATTACTTTAACAGTGAACACAGGACCAACAAGTTTTGAGGGACCGGCTTGTTGTTCCGGTGAGAACATAATGATATCAGGCAGGTAGCCCCCGTGAGGGTAAGTTAATTTTAAAAGTGCATCGGCCGCCTATATTTTTAAGTTAGACGTTGCATCAATTGAATGACAGAATGAAAGACTTTGATGTTTCTTTGGTCTGAATTTTTACATCTTTAATGTAGTTTAAATAATTTACTATAGATTCATATCTTTATAATAATTTTTAGAATAATTTATAACATGAACGAATGAAGCGCTTTCATACATCACAGCTAGAATACGAGGATAAAAGTTCAAGTTTTTCCTTAATATTTTCTTCCGCCATTTTGTGGTAATGAAAAAGAGGCATACATAAACTTTGTTATATAGATTATCTAACGAAATGGTGTAACCAGTTCTGCTCGTTATAGAAATTCTATCAATGGTACGTTTTCAAACACCGAAGACGCACGCGTTATAGACAAACTCTTCGCTTTAAAGTGAGGTCGAGACATTTGGGTAAAAAAAAAATTTGAATTAACAAAATAAAATTTTTAATTATTTTCTATTAACTGATTATTGATGGCAAAGAATTTTGATTACAGAGTAGTGTAAATAAGTACTGTTTTCGTATGTTTGAGCAAGATAATAATGTCAACAACAAAGTATCAGAAAAACATAAAAAATTTATCAAGAAAGGGGAAATGAAAAGAAAAAGATCCCTCATGCAACGTTAGCTCAGAGAAATAGCAAGAGGACCATGAGCACCTCAGGCAGAAATGCCCAGACCACGAACTCATCAGAAACATTGGGTCAGGTCTCAATTGGAAACGCAAGTGCTTCATATCCTTTTGGAACGCGTACCGAGGAGATATCAAGAAGGTGGTACTCAGTTCGGATGTCAAAGTTGATTTGGCGAGCTTGCCGAGAACCTATTATCAAGACACAATGGGCTCAGATCGGCTGGAAACCGAAACCGAAAACGAAAGATATGGATTTACCTAACGCCCGAAGAAAGAGAAAAGCTAAAAAAGTGGATGGGAGCTGTAAGATGGAGTAACGTAAGATTGTTGAAGATTATTATTCAAGCACCTACAACTCTTATTGAAAGATCATTGGATAGGCATTATATAGTACTGTATTGAGAAGAAAGTTAATAATATTAGGAAACAAAAGGTTGATTCGAGAAGATAAAATCAAATAATTTTCAAACAAAAAAGTATATTAATCGTAGTATGAAAGTTTACTAAAGATAATCGTTCTAATGAAATCTTTATTGTGCATTTATTTTCTATCGACCCTATATTCCCGTAGAACTTTATCATACTTACAAAGAAGTAAATACTTGATATGTAAACCTATCTATCCTTAATACATTTATTAACATTAATAAAGAATGTTGTGAATTAAATTTAAACATTCTTTAACGCGATTTGTTCATACGCCTTTTTTATGTGTAGTTATATCGTATACTGCGGGATCTTATTTTTTTAATTGATTGTTTTGAAATATTAATCTTTATCAGTAGTTAATTTCAACTGTTTGTTATTATTATTCGACAGAACATTCCATAGTTTACCAAAAGAAATTTGGCTTGATTGAATATTACATCATAAAAGAAATATTGTTGCATGAAAAAAGGCAAAGAACAATCGGTGTGTCAATTGTTTCATAATTACTTAACGTGACACGCATTAGTAATTTTATATGCAGGAGCAATTCTTAACCTTCGCGATTATGCTTTCCTGATGAAAATCTAATTCGTTCGGATGTTTTATTATACGAGTTTATCGAAGTTTAATACGACAGATAGTTTATAACACAGCTCGGGTAATGTTAATGACAACGTCGACCAAAACCAAAATAAGTGTTCGCCACAAGTATTTACAGTATTTTATTATCCAGTATCTGACATGAAAACAAGCATTTACTTTCACGTCACGTCACGTATTCCAGTTAATCACGTGTCATTATTCATTTCGATCCTAATATAAATCGAACGTATGAGATTATCTAATTTTGTCCTACATACGTAACTCTCTCTCCTGCGGTCCTTTTTTCCCTTTAAATATTTTCGGGTCAGTCTCATTACGTATTTGACTTGTGTAATGCATTACTTTTGATATTATTGGCCCGTCTGAGGTGAATTGGCCTTACTTCTCGTGGTCATCCATATAATTTTGGCAGAAGCACGCGGTAATATGCAACCAGTTTTATTACCTCGCGCCAATAAGAACTTTTATTGATAACCTTATTAGCCCTTTGAACTGCTTATTTTGCATCAGCCCTTGGCCATTGCTTCATTAACTCTTATTAACTTGCGACATACTATCATTTAACTCTTTTAGCACGCGCTTCCTAGCAAAACTTATTAATCTATCTAAAATGTCTACTCTGGAAGAATACACGTTTTTTTTTCAATTTCGAATGAAAAATATTCACAAAATGGACGAACCTCTGTACAGTCGACCGTTCTCACACAATTATCTGTCGGAGAAAGTCTGGCGTCTGATCATCGAACCAGTTAGTATATTTGAATCATGTGATTTGAGTGTTCTTTTTTTTTGACAGAAGTGTTCTTTATCGCGAATCATTCCTTCGCTTTAGTTTTGACTTTAATGAATCGCGTTTCGATTTAAAATAGGCAAATGAATTGTTACTCATAACTTTACAATTGGTGATGAAACCCATCGTAGAACCGTCAGATTTGGAAACGTGTTCAATTGACATTGTCTTGAAGAACTTGGACGGAAAAGAGGTTGAAGCGATAGTTGTTGACAATAATGGTAAAAAATATTGACTTCTGTCCCGTTTCTTTCTTTTTTTTATTTTATTTTTTTACAAATCGTCTCATCCCGATTTGACATTTCGACAGATACCTTCAGAATATATAATAAGCGAATGCTTGATGATACGATTTTGGTGGGTGTCCATTTATGTGTCATCGAATCTGACGACGAACACGTTATTCGACCAACAAAACACATAGTCGCGAATAAAATTCCTCGGGATCTTGCGACTGTCTGGGCTGAAGAGTTGTTAAACCCCGCGACAGCAAATGTCAGATTCAAAGTTCGAGACAGGTACATCTATGCCAGTAGTTCGATCCTTAGCAAACGGTCACAATATTTTCAAGTGATGCTTGAGGGAAATTGGACGGAGTGCCGATATTCAAGAAGAAATACCTCATTTAATAGTACACAATCATTATACTCATCACAGTCATCCGAATTATCATCTATGGACGATCGTGAATTACTTGATCTAGATGGAACGCGTAAATTTGAATATGAAATAGAGATTACCGATTTTGCGTATACAACTGTTCTCCAGATGCTTAAGTTCATATACACGGGTCAACTGACGATCGGTTGCTGGGATAATATATGGGATATATACAGCATCGCTGATAAATATTTGATCACTGATCTTAAAGACGTCATTAAGAGAGGCATCTTGGAGGAAATAAAGGTGGAAAACGCGGCGGAAATATTATACGGGAAGGCGTGGAGATGGCCCGATCTAAAGGAATCAATTATGGAATACACGATAAGGAACTTTCCGTCAATCCGGAAGACCGAAGGATATAATCGCATCGTGAAAAATCAATCAGAGTATCCGATGTTCTTGGAATTGAATTCTGACATACTGTTGGCTTACTTTAATAATCCCAGTAATTAGTGTTTGGAACATACATAAATCCTATCAACGATATTTCCTAGTCTACCTCGACCACGTTCAGACAGCACTGGTTTTCCTTAATAAGGTTTCTCTAAATATGTCAATATATTGATTGATAGCCAAGTTTGAATGGGTCACGAATTTACAAAGTCATACATAAATGAAATCCGAATAAAAAGACAATGTACTGTATATATGAAATCCACCACCTCTCTTTACTCAGCTAATCGGTTTGGTTATTTTTATCTGGCACCAAAACATTTGGATAGGATGAAATAGCAACAAATCATTCATCTACGAAAGTTTCAATGGATCACAGATAAGAATTGCCAGAAACGAATGGCAATTGACATATGTAAAAGCCTAGAACAATAATTCAATTCCTCGAATGCCTAGAAGAAATTTCGAAAAAACTTTATAAATAATTAATGAACTTTAATGTAATGACATTTCTTTTAAAAAAAAAAAAAATCGGAATCACTATAAAAAACGCAAAAATATGTGAAAATTCGCAAAAAAAAAAAAATTTTTTTCTTTCAATGAACCGACGCGACATTATATACACGTATACGATTTACATTATTTCCACGCTATTGTATTCATTATATGAATCATGGAGCTGTATACAGACAGAGATGGTAATTTTCAATTTTCTTTAAGAAGCAAAGATAATCGTATTAATGATACACAAAGAACTTAAATAGCCGTGTTTATCTCTTAATTTGATACCACATAGTTGATTTAAGAACTGGTGGATATCAACATTGTCAACATTACGAAAATGTTTATGTGCAAAGGAAATAATTTATTAACATGCGATCATACAAACTTACGAATTAAGATTTGCCTTCAATATATGCATTTGTGAGGTAAGCGAGAGAGGTACAGTACAGTCCTGGTCAGACGATTATTATCTTGGCATAATCCCCAATCAAAGATGTCGGGTGTGGCTGCCTGAGTCGGATGTGATCTTTCATGATGAAAATCTAAACATGTCTAACAATGAAATCCATTCTGAATTTACGCTCAATCGTAAATATCAATTTTTAAAGTTTGGACCATCTTGAGGGCATTGGGTTGGTTCTGTAAAGCTGCCAACCTCAAATACTGCTTCCCTTCCCGAATATTCTTTGGTACATTCAATTTCCCGTTATAATAAACATCCCCCAGGTTAAATTGAGCTGTAGCATTATTATTATCGGCCGATGCTTTCAAATATTTCAAAAATTCCCCTAGATTAAACTTCGCTCCACCTTCATTTTGTACCAAACAAAAAGCGTATCGCAATTGGGCATCAGGAATTCCGTTATCTGCTGCTTCTTTAAATAACTTCACCGCTTCTACTCGATTTTGTTGAACAATGTATCCTTCCCACAAATAATATGCCTTCCAGTACTTGGCAGTGAAATTACCAATCTCAGATTGTTCTCTAAAACATTCCCAGGCCTTTCCGCGATCTCCGGTTTTGTGAGCTTTTATGCCATCCTCAATGGAGATCATTGGTTTCACCGGTAAAACCAATTCATCTAGGTTCCACTGTGGAAGCTCATAAGTTGGATGTGACGAAGAGTTTGTGACGCTCGATTGAAATTGAGAGTTCGGAGAATGTGATGAACCGTTAGACGACTCGTTTGACGGTTGTGCCGTTAAAGAATGAATTGAAGATAATGGAAATGATAGTGACAAAGGTGATAGGGGAGATAACGGCGGCGATGAAGATAATGTGTTTTGGTGTGGAAGAGTTGGAGACTCGAGAGCAGTGGAAATATTAAATTCAGCAATAGTGGATTGGGAAGGTGATGGTAAGATTAGATCGGAGGTGGAGGTCGTATCAGAAAGAATAATATTGGGGATAGACGAAGACGCCTTGTGCGAGGCGATATATGGTGACTCGGACCTTGGTGGATAATACTTTTTCTGTAATTCGAATAGATCAACATACAACTCCCAGATCGTTGGCCGATGTTTTGGATCATGTGACCAAGCTACAGACAGAGAAACAATTCAGGTCTAAGGAAAAAAGAAAAATGATAGGAATAGGAATGAGATTAATCTGATCACCTTTACGAATAATCTTGGTAAGCCCTTGAAAGAACCCTATACCATCAAGAGGCCAATTGAAATTTTCTCGCCTTCCAGATTTGACATGATCGGTGATCATAGTTATATCGTAAGTATCTGCATATGGAATTCTTTGGTGACAACATTCCCAAAGTAACATTGCATAACTGAGAAAAATACAAAGTAATTAATAATAAGTATGATCGACAAAACAAGAAGGTTGAATTAATGTGTACGAGCGATTCTCTTACCTAAATGTTTCACATTTCAGACTATATTTTGTGGTTGAGTCCATTTTTTCGGGTGCCATCCAACGAACCAAGTCCGCAATATCGGTTTTAATGTTTACCGAAATTGCGCCAAATTCCCTGCTCATGTGAAATCTTGTTAATCTCGCTTCCAGATTTTGACTCAGCTTTTTTCGGGAGGGGGAATGATTAGAAAGTTTGAATGACTTGCAGGAAACAATGCTTATCTCGGATGAAAACAAGATCATTCACACCCACCAAAATGTTTTCACATCTAATATCATGGTGCAACACATTTGCGCCGTGTAAAAATTGAATTCCCCTCAAAATATCCAATGCAATGCTCAGTTTCTTATCCCATGTGAAATCCGATTTATGATTCTCATAATACTCTTTCAAATTTCCACCTTCGGCCCACTCATAAACCGTGTAATATCCCGTGTCCATCTTCGCTATACCATAAAATTTAATGACATTCGTTGCATGATGCAACTTTTTCAACAACGCTAGTTCCGATAATAATGAACTTTGTGGTTTTTTTAAATCATCCGTGTTCTTTATAACTTTGACGGCAACCGGCAAGAGATTAAACATTTTTTTGACAATCGTTTTACGACTGTCGGTTGGCAATGGATCATGCGGATCGATCAGTTGATCGCTTGAAAGGAGATAAGCTTCCAGACTTCGAATGTGATTCTGGTTATTTTTCAGTGAAGAAATTTCCTCAAAGATCACGTTAATTGAATTGCTGGCATCCACCACACCGCCTTGAATATTTTTCAAAACCTACGTCGTTATGCGTATCCTTTAGTAATTCTTTCAGAATTCATTGTAATGTATATATATGTATATGTACATACGATATTTAAATCCTCGAGATCGGACGTCAGACTTTCCGCATCTTTTTTACTCTGCAAGTTCATATCCAAGGTTAGACTGAACTCTAAATCCATGAGCACGGCGTTAAATTCAGTCGTAATGCTCTCAAACTCTTTCCTAATGTTATTGGTCTTCACCAACTTTCGTAATCCCTGTAATTGTGATACCTCTTCCAGGTAGACTTTAATTCTCTTCAATACCGCAATGAATTTTTCCATAGCAGTATAGTAACTTTGTTTTTGAAATTTCTCTTCATTCTCTTGCGCGCGTTTTTTCAATTGTTTAATGTTGATCTCTGCAATATAGACACGATCAAGTAACACGCCACAAATTTTTCGATTCATTTGCGCATTTTCGTAGGTCTCTATTATCTTTGCTATGGTGTAGGATGCAATCGCGATTAGCGGTACAAAAGGTTTGACAGCATCTGTTGATTTTTCGTTAGCGACATTTGGTTAGTAAATTAACGGAATTAACTTGTGTTTGGTGTTAAATATGAAGAGACAACCTGCCACCGTGCCCACGGCGTTAAATAATTCCATGGCTTGATCGATAGTTCGCTCGCTGGGAACAAATGAACTAGCGATATCCAAAATTCTCGATTTTTCATTTTTATTCGATTCTCTTTCATCACCCATTTGATCATTGTTTCCCGATTTTTGTTCACTCATCTTTCCGATCCTTAAATGGGATTAACAAGATTTTCGGGTCTCGGTGCTTTTTAAATAAATAAATAATATTCGAAAGAAAACCTCTATCTATTTTTTAAGAAAATTTTTCGAGGTGAGTTATTTTAATTTGCAACGAATTACGGATTTATCACTTGCCGCACAAATCAATCGCTCAATTCTTGTAACATACAGACCCGCCTCGAAAGATTTTCTGCAGGAAACGTTAAATTTTACTTTAGCCTTACTTATAAAATATCCAGGTCTCCGCAATTTGTCACGAATGTGTACGTGTGCATATATGTTACGATCAACAATATCTAACACCACACTTTTGTCACACTAAATGTGCATTGGTGTAATATTATTATTATCAAAATTTAATAGAAGAATTATTGAGTGTCCTTATTCGGGATGTTAGCAGTTTTGAAGCGCCTAACGTCCGTTTCGTTATACAATGAAATGGCACCCAGGTACTCACCTTTAAAAAAATAATCGAATATCCATGACAATTAGTAATTCTCACAGCGATTCTTGTAAGAAACGTACCACGACTTAATAATCATGCATACAGATTATAGTATTTTCCTTGGTATTTGTGATTATAAACAACAATGGACAATGTTAATTTATGAAAATAGGCTTTATCAAAAAACCTCGTAAAATAGAATTAATGTATTTATTAATATGAGGGTATTATAGGATATAAAATGAACCTAATTAAATTTTATGTCAAAGCATACATTTTAATGATATACCATGATACTTTTGGGCATCACTCACTGTATTTATAATAACACATTGTAAATTAAAAAATAAATAAATATTATTTCATTTCGTTTGTCCAACCATATATCAATTGTTCTTTTAATTATTCTTTTTATAAACATGTAACGAAATTTGAATTAGAATTGATGCACAAAATTAATTATTTCGAGAAATAAAAATTTGTTAAAATTTGGGTTTTTAATAAATTGGTTTTCTTTTAAATAATAATTTCAACTTCTTTTTCAGCTTTGTTATTTAAAACACATAATTATTAAAAAATATAATATTAACATTATCAGTTTTTTTTTAAAACTTTCACAATATTCTTTTATGAAAAATTGTAATTATGATAATCATTAAAAATTAATTCTTGTTATTAACCTTTTAAATCAATTGATTTTATTATAAATATATATTATATCTTTCTTAAATTACTTTAATTATTTACATTACAATATATTATTATAAAACAAAAAATCCATCTTAATATATTCTTATTAAAACCTTTATTTATAATATCAAAAATATATATATATTTTTTTTTAAAAGTAAAAATTGTTTTTATAAATATTATTTAAAAAACAAATATTGTTATATATATTTATTTATTTAAATAAATACTATTTTTTTATTAATTTATATATATCAGGATATATATTGTATTTAAAAAAAACAATATCATCTATATATAAAATATATAATAAATCAAATACTAACTTGTTTATAATAATTATAAAATATATATTAGAATTTTTAAATTAATGCAATGATTAAATAATATTAAAAAATTATAAATACTTATTTAAAATTTGATTTAATAATATTGTGATAATTAATAATAAAATTAAAAATATAAAAAACATTATTAAATTTGTTTTAAATAAAAATTTCAATGATAAAAATAAAAATATTAATTGTTATATAAAAAATTTAAAAATTGAAATGATTCAAAATAATATTAAAACATTAATTTTAATTAATAAAAAATAAATAATTTAAACTAATAAAAAATTTAATTTAAATATATATTTATTAATCTGTAAATATTTTCAAGTAAATTTACTTGAAAAATTAATAAAATATATATTTATAATTTATTTTTTTTTTGAAAAAACAAAGTTCTTATACTTTATTATTTATTATAATTTTAAACTTTGATTATAAGATTTATAATTTATAATATAATATATATCTTTTTTTGCTAGAAAAAGTTTAATACAAGTCTATTGTCTCAAAAATTAAAATCAAACAGACTTGCATAAACTCACATAAGATTTAAAACACTATTAAAAATAATAATAGGTTATAATTTACAGTATATGTTAAATTTAATATAAATATAAAAATTGAAAATTAAATTAAATCAAATTATTAAGATTCTTATGCAAGATTTATAATTGTAATCTACTAATTTAAACTTCTTGATATTAATTAATAATATAGAAAAAAGAAGTTTAAGTAATATCTATCTATAGAAAAATAATTATTTAATTATATAAAAACACTGTAACTACTATATACAAGTTGATTTTTAAGTAATAATTAAAATTGATATACTTGTTTTTCAAATGTAACTTGATATATAACAAATAAAGTAAATATTAATTTTAAACTATATTAAAATAAAGTTAATCTTTTATCTTTTGTACCTAATATTTAATCTTTTATTTGAATTCATTACTAGAACTTAAAACTAAAAATTAAAAATTAACTTTATTATCAAAATAATTTTAAAGTAAAATTAATCTTTTACTATTTATATTTAGTATTAATTTTTATTTTTGAATTTATCAATAAAACTATAGGTTAAAGTAGCAATTAATCTTACTGTTAGAATAGTTTTAAAAAACATATTTTGATTTTAAAATAGTCTAAAACTAATAATTAATGAGGAAAAAATTCAAATGTGAAGTAATAATTTGTTAAGAAAGATATTAAATATGAAATTTTTTATATATGTTATTATCTAATTATATACAATTGATTTATATTGTCAAAAGATAATAAAAAACTTTTGTTATTATTGTTAGCTTATTTGTGAAAATAATTAAAATTCCTAATTTTTATATATTATTATACTAGATTCTTTAATTATCAATATAATATCTGCAATCTAACTTATTGTTAGCTATATTGACATTGGCTACTATTTCTTTTTAAATATTGTAAAGCATAATTTCTAAGTATTTTTAGATAATAATAATTATATAATAATTTATTAGATATATCTAATTTAACCATCAATTAATAAACAATATTAAAATAGACTCTAGCAACAATCTTATCAAATGCTATAGCTGTTTTCTAGGCCAATCTTCCAACAACTTCTGTTTATTAATTTTCTCTAATACTAATGCTTCCTTATTCTGGACAATCAACAAAATTTCATCCAACTTCAAGCATCACTTGTGCATTATTATAAAAGAATTAGCAATCTCTCCATCCAAAAATAAACTCACTGTCTATTTAGTAAATATCACATCTGCTCTATCACCTCTCTTACCACTTTAAGCAATTGGTCTTTACAATTCATATTATATTCAACTTGTCAAACAAGATATGGTAGTCAACAATATCAAAATTACAATAACAAATTCAAAACTATCAATAGATAATATGCTTTATATCATTTATAAGATCTTGCAATGGTATCCTATCCAGTGTACTATCAAAATTAGAAACAATAAAAACATTATTCAAACACTTTCTAGCTTTCCTAGAAAATAAACAAAAATTAACTTTGCTATCTTAATATCAAAAATTGAGCACATGTCAGCACAGAAATTTATTAATTACAATTTTATTAAACCTAAATCCAATCCAAAGACTATCAGTAATATACAATAAAACAATTTACCTGTATATTTTACAGAGAACCCTACCATAAATTACATAGATTTGAAAAGTTGCTCAAAATAGTACAAAAAAATCTTTAGCATTATCAGATCTTATATAATATGTGAGAGCTTCTCTATATTCAAAACATCTAATTAATATTATAACACCATCAATTTCAAAATAATTAATCTATCCAACAAACACATAAAAGAACTTCATAATAACAGTTACAGTGACCTGGTAGCATTCAAAATAAAATTATTTTTGGGCACTCTTTCCACATGGGAATTTCTCCACAACCTATATTCTAAACATTACAAGGACCCATACTGTCCCAGATACAGTTTTCGATTGAAAACTATCTTTCACATTCTTGATTGCTCTAAAGTAAAAGAAGAAGCCAATCAAATCATTAACTCAATTAATGCAATTTTCTATCCAAACAACAGCAACCATTCAATCTTCAACACATAACAAATAGTGGAATTAGCATACGAAATTATTGCAAATATATTTTCCACAGCCAACATCCACAACTGGATCAAAATATCTATCGAAACTTTCATAATGTTTTACAACCTCATGTGTAAACCCTATTGCAATACAGCTAAGGATCCTAATGATTCTCTTCAATTCTGTATTCGATTCTCAAGTTTATATTAAATTTAATAAGTGGAGTATACCCCATCATCATTTTTAATAGTGTTCTGAACCTCATGTGATTTCCTGCAATTCTGTTTGATTCCAATTTTTGGAACCATAAACATAGCAAATACTTTACTATTCACTAGCATTAAATGGAATAAAACAATAAAAACAAATAGCAACAAAGTTAGCAATAGTAGCAAAAATAATCACAACTTCAATATAAGCACTTCAAAAATCAATTCCACTTCTCATATCAACACTAGTTCAAATCTTTAAAACAGCAATACAATAGTTGATAATCCCACACTAGTTGCAGAAACATTTATTCAAAACAATCTTAACTTTTTATCATGTATTTCTAATCTTATTTCAAATTATCATAATTTTATTTCTCAAAATAACTCTAAGTATATATATATAGCCACTTGGCATTATTTGATTAGTATACTAGTTTTAAAATGTCTTTTCTAATAGAAGTTAAATGATTATTGTAGGCAGACTAACATTAAACTCATTGCAAGTTGCATATGAGAGATGTTGTTTCTTTCCAAATATATATCTTGTAATATACAAATAAATAAAGAAATGGTATTTACAGTATCTACTCAAAAACAAAAAAAATAAACAATATTAAATTTAATAATAATAACTACAGTATATTAATTTTTTGAAAAAAATAAACTATTTATTCTTTTTCAAAAAATATAAAAGAAAAAAATTTTTTAAAATTCCCATCTTAAGAAAAATTA